GGGTATCTGTGTCCGTACGTTTTTTATTCTACCTTCCGATAGCCCGTTGAACACGAACACAGATTTCATCATCGAGAAAAAAAATCATCCGAAACAAAATATTGTACAATTCGTGTTTTGTTCGGCCGAGGACTACCCCCTCCCCCTCCCTTCCCGTAATTTCATTTCATTTCTCGAGGGCTGAAAACAATTATATGACACAACAGAACACTGAGAGTCCTTAAACAATTTTTGTGCGCCACATTTTATTGATTCGATACGAGCACGCGTTGTCATTATTCAGACCTGTCCCGTGAGGGAGTGTAGACTTTATGAGATCACTATAGTACACAGTGTAGTGTGCACTCACCCGCACACAATCATCTTGCAATAAATTAAATTACTACACTGAATAAGAAACGATAAAGAAAATATTACCGCTAATGTGTGATACCGACTTCCACGAATTGAGATATTACATTATGAAGAGGATGTCAACGAACGATATTTTGTTTGCTCTTTCTCGCCTACTCTAATATTATATAAAGCTTTGTGAACAGCTGATGAAGTGTTGAACCGAACTTGTTAGTTGTTGGTATTGTTACCTTGCATTTAATTTTGGAGCAAACGTTTCGACTGGAAATAAACCATTCTCGAGATTATTTACACTTATATTTTTATTTTTTATCTTAACAATTATTGGTGTATTACATAATTTAATGTCTTATAATTTCTGACAACTCATAATCCATGTACACAAACATCGCCTAAATCATTCATATACTTTGGAGGCGAAATTTTAGATTTTTCTAGAGGAACCAAACACATYAAATTACAATATTAAACACTACTGCTATAAGCAGTAACTTAAAGAGAAATTAAAAAATATTTGATTTTATGTTTTTAGAAATTACTAATATTTTTCAATGATATAAAATAGACAGCGATTGTTCTATGTCTAACACTCTTATTTGTTTTATCAGTTCATTCATTCGTTGTACTTAAAAAAAATAGCTTAAGAATGAATAAATTTAAGAAATAAAATTATACGGGAT